TTGCCCGTCGCCACCCGGACCAAGGTCGCGAGCGCGCCAGGGCCGCCATTTTCAGTCACCATAGTGACGGGTCCTGGCAACACAGGGACGCCGGGAGAACTCGGGCCTCGCCCCGTACCCCAGCGTGAGCCGCCGTCCTTCCCGCCGCCCGCCCTTTGGCTCTGCTCCCGTCAGCCCTCCGCGTACTCCCGTGGGGTGCTGGATCCACCCCCGTCTTGAGCCGGCCGGGCGGGGGTGCGTCCTGCCAGCATGGCCGCGGAGGGAGACAAGAGGAAGCGCTTTATTTCATCCACGGCTGCTAACTACTTCGGACTGGATCCAGCAGTGGGTCCCGCTGCCGTGGCCGCGGGGTTGCATTCCCGTCCGGAGCTGACCAACTTCCTCGACGACGGGAGCGAGTTCCTCCTCGTTGTGCAGCACTCGGGCAACCAGCTCACGGCATCCAACAAGGTACGGTCGCGCCCAGCCGCCTTCGGATCCAGCGTGTCCACTGCGTCCCGGTGTGCGAGTGGGGATGCAGAGCCTGGCGTCCAGCCCAGGTTTAGTGGTCATAAAAGATTGGTATCTGATTTGGGAGACATCTTCCTGCTGCAAGTGTCTGTGCTGGTCTCAGTGGCTGCTGCGTAAAATACTGGCCCAAGAGTCTATGAAGACCATATGGTCCGCTGTGTGAAACACGTTAGTGGATTGTGCCCATGCTGTGACGTAGTTGTATTGTAGGATAGACATACTGTGACTGTGTGAATGTAATGCAGCCTGGAGAATGGCACTTTGTCTCGCTGCAAAGGCCGGGTGGAGTCTGATGTACTGGGTTGTTCCTGGGCGAGGGTGCGTGCAGGTGACTGGAAGGATTGCATTGCCAATGTCCATGCAGGAAACGTGGCCCAATATGTGGTGCATTGACTGATATTTGACAAGTCTCGAGGCTGATCTTTGTCCAAATCATGCATTTTGCAGGTGGTTGTGTCCAGCTGTGAGCAAATCTGAGGTTTGTTGGGTGAGGTGTCCTAGTCTGAGTGTTGCATTCTGCGAGTGACTCATCCGAGTGATAGCGTGGGGTGTGATGTGCGGTGAATGTCACCATGTAGTTGGGACACGGTATGGTGCCCGCCACATAAAGTGTACAGGCAAAGTGCGGGTCTTGATGTGCATCCCATCATTCTGCTGTGAGACCAGGGATATGGTGTCAGTTCTGTCAGTGACAGTTTTTCTCTGCGCTGAAGGCTAGTGTCATGGCCAGTTAACATATGAACTGCTGTGAGGACCAGTAACTTACATACCTCCTGGTGTAATCGTCTGTATGGTCTGTGAAGTCTAGCAGATGCTATATTCATGAAAGAATGAACATTTACGTGTACCAGTTTTTGGGTTGTGCTACTGAGCCACTGTCTAAAATACAAAGCCACTGTCAAGAGCTGTGGAAGATCAAATGCATATTGGGGCTATAATATATACCTGTTGTCTCAGTGAAACGATGTCTGTAGGTGTTGGGCTAAAAACTTGATACGAAAGTAAAACTGATACTGTCTAGTAAAATTGAAAGCTGCTAGCCCTCTGTTTCTTTTAACAGAAAAAAATTTCACAGATGTTTACAGTTGCACAGAATTTGGGATTTCAGCTAACGTATCTTTTTGCTATTGTTTTATCAAAAGTTTAATAATATTCTCCTGTTTTATGAATTCTCCTTGGCCACAAATAATTTCAATAATTGATTTTATGGCAATTTTTGGAACTTTACCCATAAGTTGGACTGTGAAGGGAACAAGAGTCATGTCACAAGTTATTTTACTGATGAAGGAGCATGCCTTTCCCTGTCCTTGAGAAGTCTATGAATTGCAATGGAGTTGTGTATCTACAAACTCAGGAGAACAATACTGAATATTTAGAAAAATATTCCCAAAGTTATGTAGCGTAAAAATGCAATAAAAAAGATAGCCTTCATGCTTAGTTTTCTCTAGGGATGAGATGAAATTTCTTGTTTGTCCCCAGAAAGTGGCAGGTGGAGTTTTCAAAATCAAAATAGTGTAAATGTGGTATTTATGGATATTTTATAATGAAAAAGGCATTATATATTTACTGTTGGAATTCAGGTACCTATAAACTCAGGAATGAGTATAATAAAAGTTTTCATTTTCTGTGCAAATCACATACTATGAGAATGTTATCAGAGCCCATAGGGAGTAATAGGATTTTTTTTTTCTTTATATGAGTCATTTGTGTAAATGGTGTACATAATTTAGTATAATATGCAGTCAATGACAGTTTTCTAAACAAATCCTGTCATCTTGATTATTACAGATTGAAGCTACTGATGGAAAGAATAATGTTTTGGTGTTCTTTAAGCTGCGACCTGATGTAATTACAGAAGATAATCTTCATAGTAATATTCTTGTGTCATCTATGCTAGATTCACCAATTAACACTCTTTATCAAGCTGTACGACAAGTTTTTGCACCAGTATTACTGAAGGTGAGCAATATACCAATTTAAATGTTCTGTAGATTTATACTGAAACATTGAAATTCCAGGGGGTGTTAACTATTCTGAGATAAAATATTTTATGTTTTAAAAAGAAAATATTTTAAAAGCTTATATCATAGATGATAGTTCTAATTTCCAAATTGAAGAAGATACTTCACTTCCTGTCAGTAAGGATGAGAGGAGGATTCTGGTCATACATATGCCTGACTAGAACTGTGGACTACACTGAGCAGTGGTGGTTAATGGAGACAACAGCTCTTTACCTGATTTCCACCAGTAATTCGAGTTTTGTGTCCTTTTCTTGCTTTAGATATTCTTATATGAAATTCATAGGTCTGTATCATGCAAACTGTGATTCCACAATATGTGGCAGATAGGTGTGCTAGACTCTAGATTAATTTGTACAGCTGCATTTTTCATAGTTTTACTTTTTTTAAATGTTCTGAGGCTTTTCCTTCTGTTCCATTAGAGAATATATTTCCTTTGTGGGTTTTTTGTCAATAACAATGACCATAGCTGTATTTCATAAGCTGAACAAGCAGAATTTCAGCATTTACATATTTTTAATTTCTTATATGTCATGGTATTAATAAAATCTTAGAAAAACGCGATAACTTCTAGTATTTTATTCTAGCAATTTCCAGATTCTACTATTGAAGTAGTTTCCAAATTTATTTAACTTAAGAGAATTCATTAACAAAGGCATTTGAACATGTTTTCAGAGTGTCTTCATAAATCCAACAGCTGACTTGATTTTGTGATAAAAAAATTTCTACAGTATTATTCTAGGTAGTTAAGTGAAAAGAATGAGGTGCTTTTCCTTGACTTTAAGAAAAAGAAATTATTACATTATCCCACCATGTGGTTGGTTACTGCTATTAATCTGAATAATTTTTTAAAAAAGATTAATGGTAGGAAAATAGTAATTGTTCTATCATGTGAGTCACAATTTTTGAAATTTTCATTGCAGGATGAGAGATGGAGTAAAACATTTGATCCCAAACTCCAGAAACTTTTAAGTGAGCTTGAAGCTGGCTTGGGTACTCTTCTCAGAAGATCAGACCCTAATTACACAGGAACAAAATTCAGTGAAGATGATGTGCGAGGTTTGTTTTGCAGTTACCACTTTTATAGTTAATTTCAGTTAGGAGTAAATAATTTATTTGCAGGTTGAGTTTTCAATCTTTATTATCCCAGGGACTGCAGAATGTGAAATATAACAGGTTGTGGTGAGTAGATTCGAATTAGTGATGATCAGCTCTGGTTTCTTGGTATGAACTTGATACTATATCTAGTCAGAGTCAGAAGTTGAAGGATAATTACATAACCATACAGTGAAAATTTGCTTTAAAGGTATGTTTTGACTGAAAATATTTTGTGACCATTCATATATTTCATATTTAAACATTTTCCATTATTGTTTGCAGCTATACTTACACCAACAGATGAATTTCAGTTTTGGATAGAATGTGCTCGTCATGGAAGTAAATGGTGTAGTAAAGAGAGAGCTTCCCATTTTAAAGACCTTTTTGAGGAGATTGCAAACGTATGTTTTCTTTTGTGTGATCAGTGATATATTTGTAGACTTAGTAAAAAACACTGTTCTTATGCAATATATGTCAGTATATGTACACCCTTTTCAAATATATGAATATATAACTATTTAATTATTTTTTGTCAGGCAAAATTTTACTTTAAATGACATTCCTGTAGTTTCTAGTGACAACGGTGCAGGGGAATGCCAACATTTAATTGGGAGCAGATTTGACCATTGAATACTAAGAGCTGCTGTAGAAAATACAACAGTATGCTACGGTGTGTGAACTAGAATTGACTCGTGAAATTATAAAAAGGAAAACTGAAAATACAGACAGTAATAATGAATGCTGTCGTGCAAAATTTTTTGGCACCTGTAAAGTCCTTGCTTGAATAGTTTCTTCAGATATCAATACATTCTACATATGAGTAAACTTACACAAATGGTTGTTTTTTGAGAGGATTATGCCATATTCCATTAAGCAATAAAACCCAGGAAACTATTGCAATTGCCAGCTTCAGAAAAGTATAAATGTTTCTACAATACCAGTTGCAGAGTAATCGTACTAAGGATATTTTTTCCTAGGATTATTACAACTTGGATAGTCTCTCATTATTTGAAGTTGTGGATTTGGTGGAGACTACCAAGGATACTGTTGATAGTGTATGGAGACAAACAGAACATGATCCTTACCCACAGCCACGCATGTGTAATCTCCTGGATGTAATAGGTAAACTTTTATGCAGTCTTTATTAAATGAACAGTTGAGAAAAAGTAAAATGAATCCTTGAGCAGAGACCTTCTTCCTCCTAAAGGTACCTGTGATAGCCTACAGCATTAAGGTGCTTTCTTCTGGTAATTATGATCCATGAACATTATCTGCCTCATAGTATCCAATAATTCAGGCAGTTCCGGTAGATGCCTTCACACATGCTTGGGAAGATGATTGATAATAACAAGATGGAGTTGGATACCTTTCAGCCTGTGGACTGGATTTGCCTTGCTTCTGTTGTTTGACTCCTTGTCTTTCTCTCAGAGCAGAAAATTTATTTACATAAACTCCTACTGGAAAGTTGATTCAGTCTATGTGCAGGTGAGAGCAGGACATGCCGAGAGGTTGGTTCTCTCATTCTCTCAACAGCAGTCCCACGTTCTGTGACAGGCATGAGACAGTGAGTTTGTCTGCTGCTGCCAGATGTGTGTATACATGAGGGGAAGGATTGCTGGAGGCAGCCAGCTGCTGCCATTACTGCTGGTAAAGACAGATGCTTGTGTATGGATTCCAGAATCCAAATCCATCAGCTTCTGATGTTGGACCAACCTCTGTTTAACTTGGAGATGTTTAAGAGATTTATTGAATCTGAAACAAAATAACCAGTTATTGATACATTTGTGTGGTTTGAAATCAAGACATTACACTAGTTTTTTAAAAATGTGATTGGTCTAGCATTTAAAGGAATTATTTTAAACAAACATAACATATTGCTATTGTATCTTTTTTTGTGTTCTAGGTGGCTCGCTAGGTAGATATGTTCAGAGAAAACTAGCAGCTTTGAATTTGTGGGAGGATGCTTTTCACAGTGTTAAAGAAAATCTAAAGGCTGGCATCTTGATTTGTGAGCAGTGGGTGTCAGCTTGTGAGTACCTAACTGGACAACTGTGGCAACGTTATACTCTACATCCATGGAAAAATGAGAAATATTTCCCTGAATCGTTAGCCAAACTTGGCAAACGTCTTGATGAGGTAGAGATTTGAATTATACACATTTATTTCGTTAGGCACAGGAGTAAACAAGATTGTTTTAAGTTAAAAAAGGGAATTAAAATTCTTTTATAACCTTTTCAGAGACAGATAAGATTCCATAATCTGTGTTTGCCTAAGCCTTTCAAAAAGTTTCTTCTAAAAAGAAGAGGGATGGAATGTGCTACTTGTGCTTTTTGCTTCTAAATGTAAGTTTTACTTAAAATTGTGTTGAAAATATTTTTTTCCGTTATAGGTGCTAACTGTTAGAACACTACATGAAAAACTTACATTCTTTTTGCCAGTTGGAGAACAAAATGCTTTACATCTTGCCCAAGTGTTTGAACCCTTTGCTGGCCTAAGTCCTGTACACTATAATCCTTACACAGAGGTATGATGCCTATTTTTAATTTACTCACATTCTTTCTGTGACTTATGATGATGTATGTGGGTAGTCCTAAACTAACACGAACTCATTCTCTCTAGCCATTGTGGAAAGCAGCAGTCTCTCAGTATGAAAGAATTATTGCACCAACAGAACAAAAAATAGCAAGCAAATTGAAGAAATTTATTACAGAAATTCAGGACAGTCCTCAGCAGGTATGGATACTTTTATAGTCTGAAAACTTTCCTAAAGATAAAGTTACTGAATTCTTAAGTAGTCAGTTTAGAGCACAGGAGTAAGTACTTAGAGCCAAAGACAGTACTTATGAACAGCACTAATGAGTAGTGTCAGAATGTGTTTAATTTTAGTTCAGGAGAAAGAGATGACTTTTTAAATCTTCATATTCTAGCTTCTTCAAACATTTCAGAAATATAAAGAATTGATAAAGCATCCAAATATAAGCAAAGAATTGCTTTTTGAAAGGGAAACACTGCTAGCAAGACTTCAAGACTATGTCAAAGGTAAGAATGTATTTAAGAGTATTTAATTGCATTAGTTTTTTTTGCAAATACTAGAATTCTTTACTTACTTTTAGAATTATGTTAATATCCCTAGTGTATTTTTATAACCACAATAATAATTTTAAGCTTGTTCTGTTAGGTTTCCAGTCTAACATGAATCTTTTGCTTGTGTTAGACTATCAGACAGACTTTGAAACTCGATGCCATGGTGTTCCTGGTGATGTTTCTGGACCACTGTCAGGCAAAAACCTTTCTGAAGTTGTCAATAATATTGTATGGGTACGGCAGCTGGAGCTGAAGGTAACAGGTTCTGTTACTGTTTAGACATAATATTGTCATGGAATGTAAAGCATGGTATCTGAGATTCTGGTGAGGAATTCCCCACAGAAAAATGGTGGCTTCCCAAGAGTTCTATAACCAAGATTCCATATCAGTAGTACTGCTTGCTAAGTAGAATTTTATTAACTGATGCAGAAGACAGTCTTTTCGTAATACACTGGACTGCCTGCTTTTATGACTCAATTTTTTTGGCAAAAAAAAGATCAGAAGTCTGAGAGGAGGTGTTTTTCTTAAATTTTACCCCCCAGTTTTCATAATTTTAAAATATTTAAGATTTACAGATAGCCAGATTCTGAAATCCTAATTCTCACCCGTTACTACTAACCTGTGCAGTGTCCCCTTGAACTCAAAGAGATTTCTTGGTAGTTTTTTGAGTCAGTGTCTGCCAGGGAATTTACTACAGAGACTGTAGTAAATGTCAAATGATTCTGTGTTCTCTTACAACAGGATGATTTTAAAACATATTTGACTCTGTTTTAACTTATTTTTGTTAGTTTGTATTTACACTTTAGTTGGAAACTCTGGAACTTTTTTGTGAAAGTATTGACTAGTTAAAAGCAAAATATTTTCTGTAAACGTAAGTGCCATTTACAATAACTATAGATTTGCATCAGAAGTTATTTATCCCAGAATAACTATTAGCTCATTTTTTTGGCATTCACCTGCGATAATCTCAAGGGCCCATTTCAGCTGAATGGAACAAAGGGTGGAGGTCTTACAGGTGTTATTTTGTTATGTGTCCTACAGAGAGAACAGCAGCAATTCAGGCAGGTTTCAAAATTGTTTCTTCTGCTTGGTCTGCTAAAGATCTAGAGAGCAGTTCATCTGATGTGCGTCAGTTGTGTGTCTACTTTAGGCTGTGCTAAATTTTGTAATCGCTCTCAAATTTCCACTGATTGTAGTGATTAGGGTTTTGATTAATTTGTCCACATGTAGATGTGAAATCCCATTTGAAATACTTTTGTGTATTGGCATAGATCTTATAGATAGGACAAATGACACATGGGAGATTGTACCTGTATGGAGAATTAACTAAAGACCAGGTGGGATACTCTGATGTGTCTTAACAGTAGTAGACACCTGTGGTGGACAACTTATTCACACCCAGTTTGCTGTAATGGGAATTTGAACATCTGGAACACAAATCAGGATTCACTTTTTTTTCCTAATTGTTTTTTTAGTCCCACTTGCATGTTTTCTAATACTGATTTTTGTTGTGATTTTTCTTTTCTGATTGAATACCGGGAAGTTGAGCTGCTTTTCTTTGTGATTGTGTTTAAGGTGGATGACACTATCAAGCTGGCAGAGGCTCTTCTGTCTGATTTACCTGGCTTTCAAACTTTTCATCGAAGTGCAGATTCTTTTCTGGAACAGTTAAAAGTATATGAACAAGAACAATTTGGTGATTGGTCTAGGAATATCCAGTCAGAATTATCAAATCCCAAGTCAGGACTTTGGTAAATATATTCTTGTTTAAGTAATGTTTATGCTGAACTCTGTAGTGTGGTGTAATTCAACAGATCTTGGTGAAGGAAATAAAAAGCTGTACAGAATTGAGAATCGGTGGAGAAGCAAAATGGAAGAGTTTATTATCATTTAATCATCCTGCCAGGCTTGGTTGGTAAGGTGAAGTATACAGGACAATGTTAATAACCAATCTTGCAGTTTCTATTAACACCTAGAATGAAAGACATGTTTGGTCTGCTTGTTGTTACTACTTGTTATCCATTGTAATCCATATAGTGATTAATGTCTAGAAACCAGATGAGACTAGGGTATAGCTGTGACATACAAATGACATATGTAGAGTAACAAATTAATTGCTATTCACAAGAAATTCTGCAGTTTAAATAGAGTGGATGAAAGAAGAGCAAGAAAATAAATTTAAACCTCATGAATTGTGTTCCCCAAAATAATTAAATTACTTTATGGGTTATTAAAATGTATTTTAATAATTCTTTAATTAATTTGCCACATAGCTTCTGTCTGCATCTCTGAGTGTTGCAAACTTTCTTTGGAAAAAGAGTTTGTCTACAGTTTCAGAGGATACAGAAGTTGATACTTCTGAGAAAACTTTTATTTTATGAAAAACACTCAAATATAACAAATAAGCAGATTCAGCATTCCAATATATAACAGCCATCTAATTTATTAGTACCATAAAATTCTGTTACTGTGAGATTTTAAAAGATGTGAAGAGATTAATTAAAAGGAAAAGAGGTGGTTTACTGCAGCAGGGAATGCAGTGGAGATGGGAACTAGAAAAAGATGAAAAAAAAAAGTGAAAAAGTGAGTAAGTTTATATGAAAGAAGCCTAGAAGGATGGTGGTAGAAGCATTATTATGGTAGAAAAAAAAATAGAGTAAAACCTAAAGATGTTCTTATTAGCATCTGATTGTGTATAGCAAAATGTTCCACTGATCCAAGTCCTGGTTCTTGGATTGATTCCCTCAGAGAATTTCTTCCCCTTTGCAGTACTGAAGGCTGGGGACAGTAAAGTGCCTGCTTGAGAGAGTGTGATGGATCCAGTGTATTTGAGAAATACTGTCTAGCTGTGAGTTACTTGTTAACTATTGTAACAAGTGAGAAAAACTTTGTGAGCAAAGCCAATAGGCATTGTTCATTTCTTCTTGTCTTCACTGGCTTTGAATGAAGAGAAGGATTACTGGAGTAATTTGTGAGTAAATTAAAATGTTAATAAACATAGAAAAACGTAATAGAATGACATCAAGCTTTTTATAATTGTTTATTATATTATTATAGCATGCACCTAAGAAAGGTTCCGTATAAAATTATATTCAATAATATGTTTAATTTGATTTTGGTTTAGCATCCAAGCTAATAGTCCTGTAATGGAGTTGGATCATGTTTTTGGAACATTAAACATACTTTATTCAGATCGTTTGGTGACTCTCCTAAGAGAAGTACGTCAGCTATCAGCACTTGGTTTTGCTATACCAGCTAAAATACAGCATGTTGCAAACACTGCGCAAAAGTTCTGTAAGCAGGCGGTCATCCTCAAACAGGTATAAGATTAAATATCATCATAACTTCCTGTTCAGACTTCTCAGCTTTAGTAGTAGAACTTTTCTAGAGTATTATGTTTTCTGACTGTGTGGTTAAGCTTTTTGCTGTGTTGTCTGTATGAAAGTGACTTGTTTCTTGAACAAATTAACTAAATCCTTAAAAGAAAAACAAAAATAAAGAAATGCCTTACATTTTTCCAAATGTAGTGGCATTTACATGCCATTACAATTGCAGAATGTGTCTTCTTTTGAAACCAAATAAATTATAGTATTAAAGCCATGTGAAGTTGCTGTATGAATATATGAAAATAAGACGAGTAATTAATTGATCTTTAGGTTTTAGTCTCAGCTTTTGATTATTTTAATTGAAGGAGAATGTCATAAAATGGACCCACTTGTCCTCACCATTGCTAGTTTTAAACTGAAAATATATTAACAAGTATTTTAATAGAAATGTGTGTTTGTTTTTTTTGGGGGGTATTTTTTTTTGATTGGATTCAGTGCTGTGTAAACTTTTATTTGGCTTATATTTCAGTTGAAAGACCATGTTAAGTTTTCTTCTGTTACTATAAGATGCAAGAATAAATACGTATGTATTGGTAAAAATTCTTTTGTAGATACACAGGTTTAATTCAGTTTCACATGAGGCATCGTTGGTATCTGAGGTACCTGCACAGCTAAGGCAGAGATGACGCAAGACCTACAAGATACCCATGCATCTGGATCATTGACAGGTGCCCAAGTAGAAACCTTAGTCATCTCAAAAGGCACTAGATGTCTATGTGTGGACAACTAAACCAAGTTGCAGGGTACCCCTCTTACTCCAGCTGCCCGTCTGGAAGTAAATAGATGTTTTTTAGGTCTTGTGTCATATCCTGGCAGATGTCACAGATACTTGAAGGCCTCTGAAATGATGCTAGATGCCTACATTTGCATGAAATAGTGGAACTGTTCCACTAATAATAAATCAGAAACTGAACCTATTTCACTTAAGGTGAGTTATAATTACCTCAGACATGTGTAAGTAACAGTCTTTTTTTGATATTAGAATTCATCACTAGAAGATAGGATCACATTAGCATTGTATATGTACGTTATTTTTGTAAACATTTTACTAGTATAGTTAATTCTCATTTCTTAATGGCATTGATTGGGCAGTACTTTCAGACATATCCTGCATTACATTTATTGGCATATAAATATTTTTCTGTCTTCTTGTGAATTTAATCTCTCCATTTTTACAGGTGGCGCATTTTTATAATTCTATTGATCAACAAATGATTGAGAGTCAGAAGCCGATGATGTTACAATCTGCTCTAGCATTTGAACAGATAATTAAGGTGAAAGAATTTCCCTCTCTTTGTATTTTTAATTTCAATTGTATCTGTGTGTATTCTGTGCTGCTTTTTCTGTGTTTATTGCTGGACGTTTTAACTGCAGCCATCCCATACAAGCAACACCATCTGATTAATTAGCATTTATTGAAATCAGTGGGCCTCTTATTTTTGTATTGCCATTTAGATAACTGCTTACTCCTTTTTACTTGGGATATTAGTGCAATATGCTCTCTCAGGAATTTAGTATTTGAATTTACACGTGAACCATAAGGTAGTCAATTCCTTAATAGTTGGGAATGTAAATCCTATTTTAACAGTTTTAAACAATAGTATTTTGGTCTATTTTAGTAAAAATGTTATATACTTTACTCTGGCGATAAATTAGTATTAAGGAATGGTTTCACTGTTTTGGATTATTAAATCTCTGGATTTTGTAATTCTCTTGAATATTTCTTGTTCATGTTTTGTGCAGGTTGAAAGTAGATAGTTTGTGTTTCATATTAAGAAAAAAGAATCTCTGGATATACCTGATTATTAACTTATGCATGCAGTTTGTTACAGTGGGTTGGTGTTCAGTCGTAATATAGTTGCTTGGAGAAGAGGCTTTTTTTGTAATTGCTAGGAGGTTCACTATGGTTAAAGAAGTTTTAGATTCTTTTAAGGGATTTGGAGGAATTTATTTATTTTAATTTTTCTGCTTTGAAGGGGCAATATAAATTTAAAAATTACACTACAATCTACAGTTTTTTAACACCATATCTCTTTTATGTCTGGAGAAGCATGTTGTATATTATGAATTTCAATTTACTGATTTTGATCAGTTTGAGGTACTCCACCCTCTTCCAACATTCTTACAATGTGAGAATGGCTGAAGAATTATAACATGCCCAGAAACTCTGTATTGGGCAGGAGAATAAAGCCTTCAGAGCAAGCATTACAGAAACGATTTGAAGCTCGCTCCTGAGAACCATTTTGCAAGACAGAGTTTAAAAGGGGAGTTGAAAGTAGAAGGGATGTTTGGGGTTGGGATTAGTTCACACAAAATGTTGGAGAGTCCAGACCAAACTGTAGGTTCAAAAGTGTCCTGGAAGAAGTTCCCAAACTGTCTCTTAATTTTTCCTTGGGCTGGCATAAGCCCCACAGAATCTTCATAAAAAGCCCAGATAAATGGAAACCCTCAAAGCTGCTTATGAGTCAGAGGAATTTTACAGTGTAATTTTAAAAAATTGTTTCATGATAAACAGGTGAAGTTGGATAGCAATTATTAGTGTCACATTTTGGTTTTTGGTCTATGCAGAGCAAAGAGGAAGGGAGTAGTTTAAGGTGTCCTCTCAGCTTAAGATGTTTATTTATGTAAGTGGGGCAGGAGTCTCAATATCAGTGAATTTATTTCAAGCTCTGTTAAGAGTCTGGCATTAATCCTTCCCCAGTGCATTGATGTAGCTATAATGATATGCCCATGTGTCCCTGATTTGCCAGATTATTATGTCTCTAGTGCAGTAGTGAGAGGGAGATCCTCCATTTTACTAGGAGTAAAATCGTCTTTCCCATATTATCACTTCCTGTATGCAAGCTGGTAGACTACATTTGTCATTAAATCTTACAAAGTTTGTATGTTTTTTTCAAGCATTCAAAATCTGGTCCTGGAGGAAAAGCTCAAATAACATGGGATAATCCTAGAGAATTGGAAGCTTATATCCAAAAACTCCAAGCTGCTGCTGAACGGCTTTCCACTGAAAATAGAAAACTAAGAAAGTGGCACACAAACTTCATTGAAAAGGTGTATTTTCCATGTGAAATTGAAATCACGTCTCTCATAGTTTACTTTACCCTTTCTTTCATTCACGTGGTGATGAATATGTTTTTTGTCCTTTAAAATTCTTTAAACAGGTTATATCGCTCATGAATATTGATCTACTTCGGCAGCAGCAGCGTTGGAAAGATGGACTCCAGGAGCTCAGAACTGTTTTTGCCAGCCTCGAGTCACAGGCAGGGTTTCATTATCATATCACAAACTGTGAACGTTTGACTGTTCAACCGTAATCAAGATTTAAGACTCAAACATAGGATAACAGAATTAATTTTGACTAAAGAGTTACTAGCTAGCTCAGGAAAACTGTACCTCACTCTCACTAGGGAGATGTGAGGTACAATTTCAGATGGGGAGGGTGAGGATAATCTTTTTTATGTCCTACTAGTAATGGGAGAAGAACAATATTTGGTCATATGACAGGGGTTAGGTGAAGAAATGTGAAAACCTTAGGTCATCTAGATCAGTTGTGTCTGAGCCATTAACACAAGGTAAAATAAAGAAATTGGTATAGGTATGAGTGATCCCCAGGAATAATAGAACAAATTTATAAAATCTAGAATTAAAATGCATTTCTACCTGAAATAATGAAAAAAGCCACATTTTTATTTGTTCACTTATCAATTGTCAATGTTTAGAATAGAATCATAGAATCGTTTAGGTTGGAAAAGACCCTTGAGATCATCGAGTCAGATGATTAAGAATTTGATTAAGAATATAATTTTATCAAAGTAATTAGATGATATTACTATCACCTAAGCTATTTTGAGGTATCATTCAAATCAATTTAGTTTTTCCTATAGCCTTCAGCAATAACAGGGCTATATTCTTGGATGGATGTGGTGTTCTTAGCCTTCCTAGTGCAAACCCAGATTATTTTAGTTGGTGTTTGCCAGCAAATAAATGCAGTATTTTTACTATATTCTTCTTATAATTTTTTCCACCTTCTCAAGATAATATGAATAATAAATAAGTCCATTAATTCAGCTTTTGGTTTGTACTTTCTTTTGAAATCTAGTTTGCAAATTTTTTTCTTGAGGTCAGGACATTTTGTGCAAATTAATAGTGTATATTTGCTTTAAGAGCTGTTTGAAAATTGTTTTGGTATTACAGAGTATTTTATATGGAAAATTAACTAAACTGTATTCAGTCACTTTTTTTTACCCTTGACTAGAAGTGATAAAACTTAACCGTGTGTCATTTTTTCACCATCCAAAATTACAAGATGGTATAGTCTTACTGCTGTTGTCATAAAGATTTTACATATTTCTTTAAAAACCCTATTTATAATTGTCTTAAGGCTTAATTGAGACAATTTCAAGTTTTCTTAATCTCTGGAATCTTTCTGTTGGAAGAGTTCCTCTGGGCAGCCTTGAACTGTAGGGCAGACCTTACCTGTGTAGCTTCCTGCAGCAACCTTGGATTGCCTCCAAAGCCCTGGCTGAAAATCTCTATCCAATTAAATAAGAAGAGAACCTGTTTAGCTGGAAGAGGTTTCTAATTTCTTTTTTAGCATGTGTTGCCCTTTTGAAAATCCCTGGATGGCTTACAAGTGACCATTTACAGATTTGAGGTTATGATACAGCTTTACACAGTCTTATAGTGCAATGTAGTAGATTCCAATGAAACTCTGAATTCTTTAAGATAAAAACTTACATCTAGTTGTTAGTTAACATTGATCTGTGGAAACACACAAGAATTTTCTGAAATACTGTTTAAAAGGTAGCTTACATATCAGAAGAAAACAAAAGGTGTGATATAGGTTTAGATCTCTCATTCAACCAGCTTTGTAGCTTATTTCTAGGAGAATCGCATGCATTTTAGAGTAACCTTGAAGAATCTCATCACCCTCTCAAGAATGGGTGATGAACCTCAGCGAAATTGTTATGCTGAACTGCCATAGAGACTGGTTTGATTTGGATATTTTTTAAAATTCCTATATTAATCTGAAATAAATGTAACAGGTCTAGATCTTCTTAATATTCAAACTGGTCACAGGTTCATAAAATATCTTAAGTTGAAAGGGACCCACAAGGATCATTGAGTCCAACTCCCTGTTCCTCGCAGGACTACCTAAAACTAAAGCATATGACTAAGAGTGTCGTCCAGATGCTCCTTGAACTCTGACAGGCTTGGTGCCGTGACCACTTCCTTGGGGAGTCTGTTCCAGTAGTGTGATACTTCTTTGAATTTTACTAAGATCCTGGTCTTCAGGCATTGTACTGTTCTCAGTTTCAGGTTATAATTACAGCTTAAGGAATAAAATGACCAAAAAAAAATAAACATTGTTAAATTTTAGGGTTTCAAATCATGTGATATGAAAGCTTGGAGGCAGCACTGGAATCATCAACTTTACAAAGCTCTGGAACATCAGTATCAAATGGGCTTAGAAGCACTTAATGAGAATTTACCAGAAATAAATATCGATCTAACATTCAAGTAAGATATTTTCTTTTTTCCTATTAGGAAAGTATTCTGTATCAGATTACATTCAAATATTAGTTTTTGTATGATTTTTTTTCACTTTTTAGGCAAGGCAGGTTGCAATTCAGACCTCCTTTTGAAGAACTTCGAGCTAGATATTATAGAGAAATGAAGAGATTCATCTCCATTCCAAATCAGTTTAGGGGAGTAAGTGAAGCAGAAGAAGAGTCTATATTCACTGTTATGACTGAAAGAAATGCAAGTGGATTTCTGACTGCTTTCAGTAAAGCAGAGGATTTGTTCAGAAGGCTGACAGACATTTGTAATCTATTCAAGGTATTTTCCATATTTGTCTGACTCATGAGTTTGTTTTTTGTAGATTTGTATCATTTTAAGCTTCAGACATTCTAGAAGTAACTGAGCAATGACGTTTGTGCATTATTGTCTTTTTCTGCAAGGCATATAAGCAAAAGCTCAGTAAGTCCATCCATGTTAAGCCAAACACTTAAGCACAGACCTAACTTGAACATATGTAGAGTTCCTGTTGAAACCTTAGTAATATAGGTGTCTTTCTACTCTTGTTCAAAATCTGTTTTGATTGTCCTTAAACGTGTGAATATGTCAAACCATTTTGTACCTCCTAATTTTTGCACTGAGAGAAATCTGTAGGTAATTGAAGGAACACACAGGTTAAAGAGAATGTCGCTTGAAAATGTTATTGAAGTGTTTTAATATTATTGAGAAACAGAGTTTTTTAGCCTGGAAAATATTTCTTTTCCATGAAATCAAAAATAACGTTGAAAAGGAATGGATCGTAATTGGCCAAGTAGATATGGAAACTCTGGTGAAGACACATCTTTCTAGCAAACAGGACTGGGAAAAAAACTTCAAAGCATTAAAAGTGAGAGGGAAAGAAGCAGAACGTCTTCCAAGGTATAGTGTAACTCTGTTCTTTTGTTTGAATAATGTATTCTAGCAGATACTTTAAAGGCAATAGTAAAATAGAAATACTCTTTTTATGTGGAGATGTAGATAGAATTTCAGGTGTTTTTAAAATATTGATGTAATTTTAAATTGTTTTTCATTTTTATTTTTAAACACTTACTCCCTTTTATATGCATAGCCTTCTCTTTTAGTGTCTCCCTTTTGTATGATGGGAAACTCCCTCAAAATTCAAGGCTGATTCTGAAATGTTACAAAACATGGTGATATTTTAACAATTCTTTTGGCTAAGTCCTGTATATGTGGCAGTTAGGAACAGCCTTCATAAATGTTTATACATGAAATAATTCCTGTACTGAAACACTTGATTACCTCTTATAGCTTGTAGCTTAAGATATGCTAGTGCAGGCTTTTATTCTTACATATATTCACATGGAATCTAGTGGGTTGCATTGCTTAGAGTTCTCAAAAGAAACTGGTGGGAATCATGTTCAGAATAAGGAAAAAGAGGTGACATTTCCTGCAGGCAAATGGACTGGTAGAATTTGTTGGCTAAGTGATATTCTGAGTGGTAAAGATTTTCATGAGTTCAAGGACAGATTGGGGTGAATAGAAGAGAAATTGGCTGACATGTCTTATAGCCAGAAACCACATGTGGCTATTTAAGTGCCGTAAGTTGAAAATAATTGGTGTTGAGGGAGGATACTCAGGAAGGTGTCAAATAAGGTAGCCCTTTTTCTTAGTGTTCTTTAGGCATCTACTTATGGTCACTGCGAGATGTTAGTTATGGGGCCTTGAAATGAGTCAGTATGGCTTTTCTTATGTTCTTAGGACTACTGAAGTCTGAGTTAGTAAATTCTCATGGAAATTAGAGACTTAAAGACATGACTGTACAAATAATTAAAATATTTTTGAGTACAGAAATAGTCCTTTTGAATTTAGTGACATTGGTTATATAAAGTCAAGAAATTTTCTAACTATTTGGAGGATAGACCTTAGTCCCCATAAAACTGTATATATATGCATAATGGTTATAAATATTTCAATACTATAAGTAATTTTCCTTGTAAGCTATGACTTCTATTTGTAGAATTATGAGGGAAATTTTTTCTTATTAGGGTGAACTATAGACATGCATAGATCTTAAAGATGTTGACATGTAAGTATACTACTGAATGTTTGCTATTTTTTAATCTTTTGTCTTGAAGCACGATCAGGATAGATTGTTTAACTGTTAATTGCAACCCTGTGAAAACTGTAATTGATGATTTCATCCAGAAGTTGTATGACGTTCTTGTTATTTCTTTGAGAAAATCTATTCAAGGTAAATAACTTTAACGAATAGTATTTTTTTTGTTTTTGTTGCACTTGTGGACATTTGTGTTAATGTAAATACTGTTTTTAAGAAATATTTTACTCTTGGGCACAGTAAGCTGCAGAAATCACAGTGCAGAGAAGGTAAACTGTTACTAATTTTTCACCACAGGCCTAACTTAAGACCCCCCTGATGTCCATGTGCATCTTTCCCATTCGCTTGTTTTGGCCACAGCTGTTCTGGAAGTAAAAGGATACATATGAACATTATTTTTCTTGTTTCTTTTGTCTGAAGGAAAATTTCTTTGTTGTTTCGGGGAAGAAAATGTGTTTGATGTTTGAGGGAGGAAAATTTCTTAGGCATTTGACAATAATTAATGGAGTCATCATGAAATGTCATTAAAAAGTTTATTAAATTTTTCTTTCACAAATTGAAATGCTTCATGAAGAGTCTTAAATAATCTAGACTTATTCCATAGAGTTACTTGTCACTTAGATTGTCAAAATGCAGAGTGTCTAAATGTGCAAAATATTTCCCTATTTTTGGATGGTCTCTGTATCTGGAAGAGGTAGACAAAATGGAATAAGGTGTAGATGATGAGAAATACCAGTGCTTTGTGCTTTAAATGTAACAATAAGCCCAGGAAACACAGAACAGGGGTTGTGCAGAAAGTGAATTATTTCCATAGTCTGAAAGATTAGTTGTTTTCTGGAAGACTTATTATTCTTTGAAATTGTAGAGCTCCTTTCTCAGTACCAGAAAGATCTACCTTGGTAGGAAAATACAGCGTTATAGCTTAATCAGGCTTTTGTTTGTGAATCTTTTCAATATTTAAAACAAGATGGCTTTAGTTGTTTAGTTTCTTTAAAACAAACAAACAAACAAAACCCCCAAATGCCAAAAGCATATTTAACATTTTCTCCATTTACCCAAAAAAAGACCTATACAGATTTTGAAAGTGTATGAATAAATGCCTCATGTATTTATATTTAATTCTCAGAAGGGACTCGTGATACTTAGGGTCTAAATCATGCACTGAACACTAAATCATACACAGTGGATTACATTTAAAAAGCTATGTGTAAACACAAACGTGCATTTTCTGCTGAAGCAGCATATAAGATTGGGGTCTGCAACTTTTTAAGCATATGCTTTGCATACATTATTATATGTTATGACAATCTTGTATCACAGTACATTTGTCTGACTTGGATATTTATTACTACAAATATTTTCTCCATGATAACTTTGTTTTCCACATTTATATAGCTCAACTATGTGATGTTTCTTCATTTCTCACTGATGCCATGGAAACATTGGTGATTAGGCCCCAGACTGTAGAGGAAATAGCAGAAGATAATTTAAAATACTTAAACCTACGCGAACGAAAAGAAGGGGTAAGATACTATTTTATCATATCCAGAACAACAGCTATCAAAAAATGTAATTGCTTTCTAGTGTGGAAACTTATATTTCATATAACTAGTTCAGAACATGCAGTGGCCCTATAGGATGAGGGCAGTGGTCCATGTAGCACAGTATTTTGTCTCCATCAGTAGAATAAAGTAGCTACCTAGGGGAAAATATAAGATCGGTGTAGCATATTTGATGCTTTCCCACACTTCTAGCCTCCAACCAGAACCTTTTTAGTTTTGTGTTGTTCCTGAGCATATAGTAACACTCAGTGGATTTCTCTTCCACAATCTTACCTCATGTCCTCTTGAAAGCAAATACACGTTTGACATCCAAAATATCCTCTGGTAAAGGTAGATCGATTACCCATTACATGAAGGACCCCTCCTTTTATTTTTTTTTCACATGCTATCTGTTAACTTCATACCGTTTAAGTCTTACATTGGAAGAGATGCAGACCAATCAGTCCCTATTCTTCCTTTTCATGACACACGATTATATTCTTCTTTGTTGTGTCCTGTATCAGCCATCTCTTTTCTAGATTAAAGAGTTTTAGCTTACCTAATCTTTTCGTATACATAAGCCCACTCATAACTTTGATCATCCTTGTTGCCCTTTGGTAAGTCTTTTCTAGTTTTGCAATTATCTTTTTCTATGGACCAACAGGATTTTGTACAATTTTTAAGATACGAACAAACCATGGATTTATATGATGAAATAGCAGTATTATCTTTTTTATTCTCTTTTTGATCCTTGTGACTCCTAACACTTGATTTACTTCCTACTGCTCAGGTTAAGCTGCAGTTTTGGTAAAACTGTCTCTCATAACCTCAAGATATCAGTCCTGAACTGCAGTCACTAGCTCAGAACTCAACTTGTACATGTGAAATTTATTTTTTCATATATATGTCACTTCATGGTTATCTACTTGAATTTCACTTGTCACCAGTATCATCAGTCACTATTTCTTCTAAGTTAGTTCTGCAGTTCTTCACAGGTGAACTATTTTAATACCTGGAATAACATAGTATCATCAGGAAACTTTATCATCGCACAGTTTAGTCTCCTTTTCCAACTCTTTTATAAAGACCTTGAGCAGTCCAGCACAGGAGTGTACAGAATCCCATGGGTGACCTTTTTCTATTGCAGGAACTAGCCATTTCCTCCTGTCTCTGTTTTCTGTCTTTTACGCAATTAATTATCTCTGCAAGGACCTTTGTTCTTATGTCAAGGTTACCAGGTTTCCTTAAATGCCTTTGGTGAGGGTTTGTGTTAAAAGCTCTTTGGAAACCCAACTGGAATATATAATTTTCATTTCCTTCATCCATACCCTTACTGATGCCTTTAAAGAACTCTGGTTCTACAAAATTGTCGAATTCTACAAAAGCTATATTAACTCTTCCCAACCAGATAATATTTATCCAGAAAAGGATTCAGTTCTAAATGAATGCATCTGAGTTTAGGTGTGTATATACAGGTGTCTGCAGGGTATGTGCTGTTAGTACACTCAGCAGAAATCTGGTTCAGTTGCCCACAGGTGCCGTTCTAGAGTTACTGAGGTGAATATCCAACATCCACACAAGACGGGCAGACCTAACAGAGGAGTTCTGGGAGGCCTCCGTGTTTCTGTAGTTGCAAGTGGAGGCCAGGCCAGTGCCCTAGAGCATCTCTAATGGCCCTAGACATGTATTTGTGAGAAACGGAATCAAGTCCCTAGTGAATGTAGTCAGCTGTAGCCTAGAGTGATCCATTGATCCTAGACACCTTGTGGCTGATCCTCCTGAATTAATTTTTTAGCTCCATTAAGAGCTCAATGCAGTTGTTCATACATAGGTGTGTAATGTTTTGGGGAAGTCCTGGCATATCTGAGAGCTCCATACAAGGCTGGCAGATACGATACAGGACGTATGGGAGACCCATAACTTTTGGGGCAGTGGATGTAAGGCAAATGGGATAGAGTAGGGGATCTCAAGTAATTCTGGAAACCTCTGTCATTAAATGATCGAGACCTCGGTAGACCTCAGTTTCAGTGTTCTTCTTTGGGGATAAAGGTGTTTTAGATGCCTACTTAACAAGCTCATGGGCAGACATCTAATTTTAGCTTAATCTTTATCTTGGATACAGTTTAACTGTTTGGCTGCTAACTCAGTAAGGACTATGTTAGGCTGGGTACAAATATTTACATTTTGTAGCACCTCTGGGAGAATTGTTGGATGTTGAGAATTAATTCTGTATAATTTACAAAACAGTATTGCTCCTTAGCATTAGTGCATGTGGTCATCTCAATTTTTAAAGGAAATCATGTAACAGGACATGTATATGTTTATTCAGTAAACATGTATGTGTTTATTTCAATTTCAGAAAATTAACTCCATCCCAGCCAGAGCTGGCACACATACATACATACATATTTACTGAGTTCTGTTGCTCTGCTGCTGTTCTTGAATCTGATTGAGTGGATTTCTGCAATATATAAAGAGGCACTTATCTGTTTCATAGCAAATATTCACTTCTGTATATTCCATGTCAGGATCAAGATTTAGAATTTCTCTAAATACCTCAGATACTATTTTTTAGAGTGTTTTAATATTATTGTATAAACAGTATTAAAAAAGCAGCTATATATAAGCATATAATCTGTGCATACACAGTTGATGATTCTTATGTATTTGCTTATAGTTTTGGATAAACAGGATTTGCTGAAGTTTTACATACACACATATTTTTCATCTGTTTGAATTTAGATTTTTCTCCTGTTTCAAGAAGCTGAAGATAAAAACAAACTTTTGCGAACTGTGGCCGGTGCAGGTTTGGACACTATCAGTAACCTAAGAGCTACATGGGATAAATTTGAATTAATGATGGAAAGCCACCAGCTTATGATTACAGAACAGGTAACAATGACAGATTAATATTTTACCTACAAATGTTGAAGTTATTTTGAATAAGCCTGGAGAAATATTTTTTTCTTAGATTAAATCCATAAATGTTCTCAGTTCAATGTTAACACCAATGTTGCTGGTGAGAGTTCAGGGAGAGGCTTCAAAGGAAGCAAACTATTTAAACAATAACGAGGTGAAACTTCCGTTGAGCTGATGCTGAAATGAATGTTACGTTGTTGTACTTCTGTCTCAACTTTCTGGTGACAGAGATGGCTTAATGAATGCAATGCTTAACTGAGGGAAACAGGATAACAGTTAAAAGATAGCATTTTTATTACTTTATAATGCTTTTAGTACTGGTGCTTGTTATCATCTTTTCACACAACTTTTCACACAACTAAACTACGTGCAGTCCTGTAATTCCAGTTCATAGGCAAATTGCTGAACTCATTTGAAGTTCTGCTGAAGATACCAATATGCCATACAAATATAGCAACTTTTCTATGTGCTCTAAGATGCAAGTTAAATAGGTAGCATAGGCTGAATAAATAGGTCTCAAATACCAGCATAAAAAAAAAAAAATTAGTGCCCCCTTTTTCATAAAAAAACAGAAGAATAAGGATGAACTATTTCCTTAGGGTATTCTACAAGAAGTTTTTTGAGTTTTGTTTTGATCAAGTTGTGGTTATCAAGTTTTGATTTTGATACTTTGATTTTGATGATAGTTGTAGTTAGAAACCATTGAAGGAATTTAATTTTAACTCTTGTTTTACAGATTGAAATGATGAAAGGAAATGTGATTTCACGTATTAACATATATCTTCAAGACCTGGAAAAGTTTAAAGCTCGCTGGGATCAGCTAAAGCCACGTGATGATGTCATTGAAACAGGTGATCAGGATGTGCTTGAGAAAAGTGCTCAGATCATAAAGGAAAAAAAAATAGAATTTAATGAACTTGAAACTGTGAAAGAAAAGCTCATGTATGTATGTTTATTTCCCTGTATACCTCATTCATTAATGTGTGGATCTTTTGCAGCAATAGTATCTCAGAAATTGTTAATTAATTTTTATCACAACGGATAATATAAGGAATTTTATTTTATTTATATTACATGTTTTTCATTAGTTTTTCTGGGTCCTTTTTGTTAATTTTACATAACATGAATTTCTCAAGCTAAATTTTTCAGAAGATTTTTGGAATGAAGAATTCAAGAAGTCTTTTAGTCTTTCACATGAGGGAGTCTGTAGACTAAAGGCTTGATTCTGACTTCTGAAATCTCACTAAGAGAAGGTTTGGGACATTGGTCCAAGAAGGGGGAGTTATTACTTCAATCCCCTTGTAACTTAAGTGGGCAAGAGTGCATCTCTCCCATTTCTTGAGTAAGTGTCCTATCTAATAGACTGTTGTACAAAAGGAAAGGATTTTGCTCCAGGTGCCTACTTTCAGTAAACTCATTATTACAAATCTTGAGTGGACAAAGTTTTCTTTTCAAATTCTTATCTTGGCCCTTAAATATGATAGTAAATAAAATTAGCATATTCTTTCTACCTAACAGGAAGAAGCAATCAATTACAAATAATTTTCTTTCAAGCTCTTGTTTTTGGGGGTCAAAGTAATTCAGTTTTCTCATAAATGAGAAAGAAATGAAAGTTTATGGAAAATAATTGTGCATATGGGAGAAGATTGCTCTGTAGAAGAGTTATTCTTCATATTCCTTTCTTATTTTTATTCAAGAAGGAGACTATAAGGAAATTGTAGTTGTCAGCAATGTTCTTCAATGAAGCCAATGGCTTTTCTTAAAAAAGTATAATTATTTCCATATGATACCATCTCTTAAACCATAAATGTATAATGGAATAATGTAATGTGTAATACAACGATCTTTTTATCCAGTGAAGAATGCCATCATTTTAAATTGGAAGAGCCTGACTTCTCATTGTCAAAAGTTGTATGTCAAGATATTAAGAGTTCTGCAGAAGTTTGGGCATTGTATGAAGATTTTTATCAAGGTTTTCAGGAAAAAGCCAAAGAAGACTGGATTACATTTAGGTATGATTTTGTTACTTCAGTTTTCATGGACATATATGTGTGGTTGTAGTACTGTGTTGCTATAACCTTTCTATATTTGATTTTCATGCAGGAGTAAAACATACCTATTTGAAGAATTTTTGTTTAGCTGGCATGACAAAATGAGGAAGATGGAAGAGCATACTGTAATGACAGTAAAATTGCAAAAAGAAGTGGACAAATACAAAGTAAGATGCTAATTACAAAAAAGGATATAAAAAAGGTTTTGGTATATATTGGGTAATATACTTCATTCTGTAGCTCATTTTTCAGTTCTGATAATAAAATCAGTTACAATTTAACAAAATATCTTCTCATACTGTTTTGAACATTTCACTTACTTTTGAGAACCTTTTAGTTCCTTACAGGGAACAGGAGGGTCATAACAGTTTACACAGAGATACATTTAGCAATGAGTTTTCCTCATAGTTGTACTCCTAAACATTAAATCCAGAAATTGAAAAAAAAGTACTTTAGTTTAAGAATGTAAATTTTTGTTTTATTTGTATACCGTGTCACTCTCTAATCAAACAGTTACAATTTTCATAAAGACTGGATGGATTCACATACACGTTTTTCCTATAGATGATAATTCCACTCCTAAAATATGTAAGAGGGGAACATCTTTCTCCAGACCATTGGCTGGATCTCTTTCGTCTTCTGGGTCTTCCCCGAGGCACTACACTTGAGGGTTTGTTATTTGGAGATCTGCTAAAGGTGACAGATGCCATTATAGAAAAAGCAATGGAACTTAAGGTATGAATAATTTCAAATAAAGGTACTATATCTTATGGTTTATTTTATGTAGTTTGCCCTGTTCTGTGTGCATATTTATATTTTCATTACAATAGGAATAGAATTTACATTCTATTTTTCAATGGAAAATTTATTGCAAGCTCTGTAGTTTCAAATTAAATCTATTTATGCTTTTTAAATAGGATTTGAATTGTCGGGCCCAAGGTGAAGTCACAATCAGAGAAGCATTACGTGAGCTTGAACTCTGGGGAGTTGGAGCTGTCTTTACACTAACAGATTATGAAGATAGCCAAGGCAAGACTATCAGGCTTATTAAAGACTGGAAGGACATAGTCAACCAAGTTGGAGATCATCGCTGTCTTCTGCAGTCCCTCAAGGACTCTCCATATTACAAAGGTTTTGAAGATAAAGTGTCCATGTGGGAAAAAAAGCTGGCTGACTTGGATGAGTATCTGCAGAATTTAAACCAAATTCAAAGGAAATGGGTCTACTTGGAACCAATATTCGGTCGTGGAGCTCTGCCCAAAGAACAGGCTCGTTTTAACAGAGTTGATGAAGACTTTAGGTTAGTGTAATGGAATGTGTCTTATTTTTTGTAGTATCTTTGACATGTGTAGGCTAGAACATTTGGAATACGTATAGAGATGAAGGCCAGCAACAGGAATTCAGTAGATATAGATGTGTGGCAGTGACATAGATCTGAATAAAGTTGGTAATGTAGGTTTCATTTAATGGGGTACATGTGAAGAAGGGAATCACATGAAATGTCAAAGATCATGAAGAAAGCAGGCAAACACAAGATCAATCTTGTCAACAGAAGCAGAGGTGGTGTAATTGTGTTTTCAAGAATTATTTCTTGTTGAATATAAGCACTTTGTTCACTACAGAAGTACCCAGATGGACTTTTGGGAGAAACAGATGGTTTATTTGTTCCAAACAACTCAAAGATATAAAAAAGGAGGAGATTTTAGAAATGTAGAAAGATATTTACCATTATCTGTCTTGATTTGGGTTAAAATGACTTCTTAGAAGGAAATAAAAGTCAAGAATTGGATTTTCTTGGTTTTGGGTAGCAAAATTTTGGCAAGAAACAGTTATTAAATTACATTGGAGAGACATTGATGTAAATTCTGAAATGTTCATCATTAATACTGAAAGCTGTAAGTTATATATCAGATATTTATATGACTTACCAGTGCTTTAATTTTTATTTACCTAACTACCTGTATATGATATTTAGTTTAAAATTGTAATGGTTGTTTTATGAATTATTCATTTTTTTTTCCTGTCAAGATCCATTATGTTAGATATCAAGAGTGACAATAGGATAACATCACTGAATGCCCAGACAGGAATAAGAAATACATTAACTACCATACTTGACCAGCTTCAGAGATGCCAGAGATCTTTGAATGAGTTTTTGGAGGTACAGTTGGACATTGGTATAGTTTTCTATAAAGAAAGTCAATACGTTTGAATTTAAGTCAACAAAAACGGATTTATTTTGTTTTTATATAGGAAAAGCGCTCAGCATTTCCAAGATTCTATTTCATTGGAGATGATGACTTATTAGAAATTTTAGGACAGTCCACGAATCCTCTGGTTATCCAGTCTCATCTTAAGAAACTTTTTGCTGGTAATGCATTAATCTTCATTTGTGAAATGTTCTTATTTAGAAATGAGTTTCTTATAAGCTAGATACCTGTTGCAGAATTTTTTTCTCTCTTTCTGTTACTAGACATAAAGAATTAATGTTTGTCTTTAACAATATATAACTTCATTGCTGTTTTCTGATTAATAGGCATTAACAGTGTGAGCTTTGATGAAGAATGTAAATATATAGTTGCCATGAAGTCTGTAGAAGGAGAAACTGTGCCACTTAGAAATAAAGTTCTTCTGTCAAGTGATGTGGAGGTAAGAAAATCACATCCAAGTATAGTTCGAGTGTCTTTGAGACATTATTTTGTACTGTAACTTTTGAGGTCTTTTCATCTCCTTGTCAGGTGTGGCTAAACAGTTTGGCTTTGGAGATGAAGGAGACCCTGAAAAAAATGTTAATCGACTGTGTTGATGCTGGAAAAAAATCACAAGGTTCAATTGATCCATCGCTCTTTCCTTCCCAGGTAGTAGCTAATCCAATAATGCCACTGTGTAGTCTTAGATTTACCATGAAAGTTATTTTTTGAAGTCTCATAAGGAATTATGCATATAGATTTGGAAGAAAATAACCCCAAACAAATCCATTTTATTAATTTATAGTAAGTATAAAAAAATTCCTAAAAATATGTGGTCTTATAATTCTTTTGTAAACATTTGAAATACTCAAGTCTTTTACATGGTGCCTGATCTAACATCCATCTATCTGTTAAATTTGATGTAAATCTTGATCTTGATTGTTGATAGCAAATGTTACATGCAGGGCTGCTAAGAAGTAACATAGAGAAGCCCTTTTTGAATCTGATTAAAATAGTTTCTAAAGCTTAGCTGTAGCAGCAAAAATAGTCATGAACATGAAATTGTTTTATGCAATTTTGACCAGTAGCACAGAGTATCACATATAATCACAGAATGGTTGTGGCAAGGGTCCTCTAGAGGTCATATGGTCCAACCCCCCCTGCCCAAGTAGGGCTACCTATAGCCAGTTTGCACAGGACCATGTCCAGACAACTTTTGAAGGTCTCCAGGAATGGAAACTCCACCATCTGACTGGGCAATCTGTCTAGTGTTCAGTCACTTTCACAGTAAAAGAAGTATTTCCTAATATTCAGACAGAGCCTGCTGTGTTTCAGTTTGTGCCCATTGCACAGTGTCCAGTCAGTGGGCACCTCTGAAAAGAGCCTCGCTCCATCTGCTCTGCACAGTCCTTTCAGGTGTTTATAGCAATGGGTAAAATCCTCCCTTAGCCTTCTCTTCTCCTGGCTGAACAATCTCAGCTCTCCCAGCCTTTCCTCATAGCAGAAATACTTCAGTCCCTTTATCATCTTTGTGGTCCTTCACTGGATTGCATCTAGTAAAGCTCCTGCCCTCATTGGATCCCCTATCACTTGAAAGAGGAAGTTGTCATCCATGGAATCCAGGAACCTCCTTGGATTGCTTATGTCCTGCTGTGGTGGCCCTCCAGAAGGTATTGGGGTGGTGGAAGTCCCCTATGAGGACTACGGCCTAGGAATGTGAGGCTGCTACTATCTGTCTGTAGAAGGTCTGATCCACTTGTTCTTCCTAATCAGGTGTCCTGTTAGACACCCACTATAATGTCACCTTGACCTGTCCTCTCTTTAATCCTAACCCATAAGGTCTCAGCTGGCTCCTTATCCATCTGCAGACAGAGTTCCATGCACTCCAGCTGTTCTCTTACATAAAGGGCAACTCACCCTCCTTGTCTTCCCTTTCTGCCCTTCCTAAGTGAGCATGTATCCCTCCCTTGCAACACTCCAGTGATGCAAAGCACCCCACCACATCTCCATGATCCCAACAAGATAATAGCTCTGCACACATATCTCTAATTCATTGTGTTTATTCCTCATACTGCACGCATTAGTGTATGGGCATTTTAGAGAAGCACCCCATCATGCTGAGTTTCTGGAGAGGGTTTGGGGGATTTCTCCATAATGGTGTCTTGTGGGCACTTCCCTATTGACATGCAAGTGCTGGAGGTGACCCTGCTTAAGCCCCATTTTGTTGTTTTTTGCGATCCCTTCCTGTCACATCACCCATGCCCTTTGCTCAAGATCCTGTCTGTCACTCCCTCACAGGACTGCTGGTTACTCTTTCAGTCCCCCAGAATGTCGTCACTGTTATAAATCTTCAGATTGGCATAATTGGTGGAATTTTTTGTTACAGATCTTTCCAATTCCAAGTCTGACTGAACATTCATAGCTCAGACAGTGCTTTTCCAGTGACTGTAAAGTAATGAGAACATAAGTAGAGTGTTAGAAACCGGAGCACAAAATACTGTATTAACAGATCACAGAATCATTAAGGTCGGAAAAGACCTTTAAGATCATCAAGTCCAACCATCAACCCAACACCACCATGCCCACTAAACCATGTCCCGAAGTGCCACATCCACATGTTTTTTGAACACTTCCAGCGATGGTGACTCCACCACCTCCTTGGGCAGCCTGTGCCAATGTTTGACCACTCTCTCAGTAAAGAAATTTTTCCTGGTATCTAATCTAAACCTCCCCTGGTGCAACTTGAGGCTATTTCCTCTCGTTCTGTTGCGAGTTAGTTGAGACAAGAGACCAACACCCACCTTGCCACAACCCCCTTTCAGGTAGTTGCAGAGACCAATAAGGTCTCCCCTCAGCCTCCTCTTCTCCAGACTAAACAACCCCAGTTCCCTCAGCTGCTCCTCATAAGACTTGTTCTCCAGACCCCTCACCAGCTTCGTTGCCCTTCTCTGGACACGCTCCAGCACCTCAACATCCTTCTTGTAGTGAGGGGCCCAACACTGAACACAGTATTCGAGGTGCGGCCTCACCAGTGCCGAGTACAGGGGCACAATCACTTCCCTACTCCTGCTGGCCACACTATTTCTGATACAGGCCAGGACGCTGTTGGCCTTCTTGGCCACCTGGGCACACTGTTGGCTCATGTTCAGCTGGCTGTCAGCCAGCACCCCCAAGTCCATTTCTGCTGGGCAGCTTTCCAACCATTTCTCCCCAAGCCTGTAGCATTGCGTGGGGTTGTTGTGACCCAAGTGCAGGACCTGGCAGGTGCTCCTCAGCCTGTTGAATATGTGCTCAGCATGCCTGCAATATGGTAGTTTTGATGTGACATACCATTTAATGGGAAAAGATACTGTAAAAATTTTGCTACCATGTGCTGTAGAACAGCAAAGGCACTTGCTGTATTAGATTACATTGCAAGTTTTTGCTAAATTATGTCAGGTTTTAAGATGGCTATATTTGTTCTTAAGAACATAGCAAATGTCTGTTTTTTTAAAAAATTGATACAGGAAAATAATTTAAATATCAGACATAATAAGCAATTACAAATGAATTGAAAATCTATTTTTATTTGTATCTTCTGTATTTATAAAATGTAATTTGAACTTTCTCTTCCAAAGATTCTTTCCTTGGCAGAACAAATTCAGTTCACTGAAGATGTTGAAGGTGCTATCAAAGACCATAATCTACAACAATTAGAATTGGAACTCATGGCTAAACTGGAACATTATACTAGCATTGATACTAGTACAGAAGATACTGGGAGTACAGGTATAAAAATGATAGTTAATATATTATTATTTATAATTACTATGTAGTTGTATAGTTTTTAACATTCTGATTATTTAAACAGAAAATGATATAAACCTGTCTCGATTTGAGTTCATAAAGTTGAGTTACGTAAAGTTACCCACCTATTACTGCCAAAATTAGTGTATTAAATATTTCAGAGTGAACAATGCATTTCTATTTAGATTTAAAATTATCTTGGAGCATTTATTTATTTGCAAACCTCTTTACTTTTTAATAACTTTATAAATGTTTTGGTTATATATTTACTGATAATTTGTCCTCACCTACTGAACTGTGCTCTAGTGTAAGGTTTGACAGGAACTGGCCAAAGAGCAGTTGATGTACATTATGTCATGCCTATATATTCTGAACAGCTGTGTAGGTGAATCTCTTTTTCTGTCATAATGTATACATCTGCATCTGAACTAATAATTCTTGAACACTTCTGTAGCAAAACCAATAAAGTAGTTATTCTCAAGACATGACTGCACTGAATCTTATATAGTCCAAATGGGTTAGAATAATCATGTGTTTGAGTGCTTATTTCTCTCTTTTGACTGTAAGCGGGGCTTTGAATGACTACCTCAGACGTAAAATTCTATACTGTAGGTTAGGTTAGATGGCTCTTACCCTATTTATAAAAAGGGTATATATAAAAATAGTCAATATCATATGTAGTTGACAATCTCCCTCATTTGTATAGCTGCTTACTGTATTAAATTCTAGTTTGGAATTTATGAATTGTTAATGTCTGGTATATTAATTAGGAATAGGTTTTGTGTCACCTACCTTCAGCAGTCTGTAAGTGTCGTTCTTTACCTAAGCACCCATTCTGTGCTCTTTCAATAGCCATTGGAGAAATGTCATAGAAGAGTGTTCATTCCATCTAATGTCTAATACTTCTACAGTAAGTTTTTATTTTGGGTAATAGGTGTGATTTTGAAGGGAGTTGCCTGATTATCCCCACTTACTTTGGTGTAATTCCCACCACGGAATGGTACAGGAGTACACAAACTGGATTTCTTTCAAATGGCAAAAGTAGTTTCCATCTGACATGTCTTAAAGGGGGCATATAAGAAAAATGGGGACAAACATTTTAGCAGGGCTTGTTGTGATAGGACAAGGGGTAATCGTTCTGAACTGAAAGAGGGTAGATTCAGACTAGATCTAAGGAAGACATTTTTTACAGTGAGGTGATGAAACTCTGGTACAGGTTGCACAGAGAGGTGGTAGATGCCCCATCACTGGAAACGTTCAAGGTCAGATTGGACGAGCCTCTGAGCAACCTGCTTTAGTTGAAGATGTCCCTGCTCATTGCTGGGGCGTTGGACTAGATGACCCTTAAAGGTCCCTTCCAAACCCAAACTGTTCTGTGATTCTATGAAACTAAATTAAACAATATGTTCTCAGAGTACACTTAATGCACCCAGTTGGCTAAAGAACATTCATTCCACATCACCCTAAGTAGTCTGAGTAAAGTCTCCAGAGTGAGTGTGGTATGGTTTTCAGATCCTCAGCAGATCATTTAACAGATTGTGCCACACTGATTACTGAAGTGGACAAAGCTGTAAACACTCCTGGAATAAATTGCTTTCCAGAAAGGCTCTGTCTCTGTGAGCATAGAGGCAGACAAAATAACTTCTAAATGACTGAAGTTACATGATGATTCACATTCTCTGTCAGGATCTCATTTTATGCTACTTGCTTTAGGTAATAAATAATATTTCTAATATAATCGAAACGAGATCTGAATAAAATCTGCTGATAATAGAAAGCAGCACAATGAACAAATGATACAGAGAATGGGTAATGTATCTTCCTTACTACACTGTTGTGATGTGTGGGTTTTTTTGTGGTTATTTGCAGAATCGGGAATCCTTGAGCTCAAGCTTAAAGCTCTGATTCTTGATATCATTCATAACATTGATGTGGTGAAGCAGCTGAATCAAGCTCAAGTTCACAACATTGAAGATTGGGCTTGGAAGAAACAGCTGAGATTTTATATGAAAGACCAAAAATGTTACATTCAGATGGTAGATGCTGAACTCCAATATACTTATGAATACCAGGTGTGGTGTTTTTAATTTTTACTGTGTGGCTTTTATATGTGTCAAACACTTTCTCATTTCACACATGCTTCTGGTTGCCTCCCAACTGTTGCCATTTTTTTTAACTTTATTGTGTCCTTAGCATGCTGTTTCATCAAAAAATACTAAAAGATAGGGTAATAATTTTTATTCTTGATATTGATGGGGTAATGTTTTATGGAAAGCAACTACATTATCATATAAATATTTTCTAATATGCTTGCTACTTTTATATATTAGAGTGCAGTTTCATCTGTGTTGACTCCTTTTCTATAATTCTAAAAAAATGTGCATAATGCTTTAACATTTGATATAAAATCAGGAAAACATCATAACTGGAAACAAATTCATATACTTAATGAGACAGTAGTCTCAACTGTTGTGTTATATTTTCACATTAATGACTTACGAATGAAATTGATGAAATCACATCGTAAATAATTTCTGTCTACAAACCAATATAATTTGTTTTGTTTCTGCAGGGTAATTCCCCTAAACTTGTTTATACACCTTTGACAGATAAGTGTTACCTAACTCTTACTCAGGCTATGAAGATGGGCCTTGGAGGAAATCCCTATGGTCCAGCTGGAACTGGAAAGACAGAATCAGTAAAGGCCTTGGGTGGACTTCTTGGAAGACAAGTATTAGTCTTTAATTGTGATGAGGTGAATATGGTTCTGTGTAATTTAGGAGATAGATGTCATAGACTCATAGAATCTTTCTATGCCTATACTTCATAAAGCAATATTATATTCTAGAAATATTTTTGATAACTTGACAGTTTCCATTAGACATTCCATTGTGTATATTTCCACACATATCTCTAATTCATTGTGTTTATTCCTCATACTGCACGCATTAGTGTATGGGCATTTTAGAGAAGCACCCCATCATGCTGAGTTTCTGGAGAGGGTTTGGGGGATTTCTCCATAATGGTGTCTTGTGGGCACTTCCCTATTGACATGCAAGTGCTGGAGGTGACCCTGCTTAAGCCCCATTTTGTTGTTTTTTGCAATCCCTTGTATTTTTTAATAGATGGGAAGACAGTCTTTCATTACTTTTGTATTTGAATTTTGATAGTGTTCTTTTTCATTTTAAGGGCATTGATGTGAAGTCGATGGGGCGCATATTTGTGGGCTTAGTGAAGTGTGGTGCCTGGGGCTGTTTTGATGAATTCAATAGACTTGAGGAAGCTGTATTGTCTGCAGTATCCATGCAGATTCAGACAATTCAACATGCATTGAAGAAACATAGTCCTGTATGTGAGATGCTTGGCAAAAAGGTACAGAAAAACTTCCTTATTTTCTTCTTATACAAACAGTCTATAAACAACTGGGACAAACTTAAAAACTGACTACTGTAACTAAACATAGTCCACCCAACATTTCTCAATACTGTTTCATATGACAATATACTGTAACAATGCACTTCTAATGCTAGGTTGAAATGGATCATAATTCTGGAATTTTTATCACTCTGAATCCTGCTGGAAAAGGTTATGGAGGAAGACAAAAACTGCCTGATAACCTCAAACAACTTTTCAGGCCAGTTGCTATGACTCATCCAGACAATGAACTTATTGCAGAAGTGATTTTGTATTCAGAAGGCTTTAAGGATGCTAAAATACTTGGTAGAAAATTAGTGGCTATTTTTAATCTAGCAAGGTAAGCTTTTTTTTTTAACCTTAGTCATGTTACCTTTCCAATTCTTTTCCCTCCTGCTTTTATTTTAGCATTGAACTTTGTGGCTATGTCACTGCTATCTTGTTTCTTCATCTAGTCTGTGCCAAAGCATGACTGTAGGGATACAATCTACATATAATTTCTGTTAATTTTCTGTAATATTTTATGACTTGGATATTGCAGAAAGCTATATGTCACAAACAAAAGTAGACATAAAACCGCAGGTTTAGTCTCATCTAAACTTTTACATTCAATATAGCTCTTATATCTGAATAGTACACCATGCAAATCTCCGTAGATACTAATTTAACTTATAAAATAAAAATATTGCAACATGTTGGGAGGTTCAAATGTGAAAATATCTGGAATGCAATTATAATCTCAAGGTGGCAAAGTACTGCTCCCCTACTATGCTCACTAAATATGAATGTGAGCATATGAATGCTCACAGGCATTGTGTTGAATTTAGACTCTTAAAGTTGTTGAAATGCAGCCAAATTACTATTTGCTTATAAGTATGCATATTAGAGAGAACAAAGTTCAGAGGTTTTAATTAATGGTGTTAGAGGCAATAATAAATTAATTAGCTATTGAATATACTTCCTCTGAAAATTTCAGTGTCATTGCTTGTATCTCTGAAATATATTTCAGGTGGTGCTATGAGTACTCATCAGTTACTTTTACCATATTATGAGCATATTCATTCACCAAACAAAAATTTCAGGTGCTGTCACCTAAAGCGTACTACAGTATTGCTGTTTTTAAATTTAGGGAGCTTCTGACACCACAGCAGCACTATGATTGGGGTTTACGAGCACTGAAGACTGTTTTGAGAGGGTGTGGCAGTCTTCTTCATCAGCTGAAGAAAAGTGAAGCAAAGCAAGAAAGTAAGGTTGACCGTGCCAAAATTTTGATTATTTAGGTTATTGAACAGATATCATTCACTATGCCCTTGTGTTCACTGGAGTTTTCAGAAGCCATGGCTTTGATCTGGCGGCAGTTTAGAAAACAAAAAAATATCTGTGAAAGTCTTCCTTCATTAGAAGGTCACAAAAGACTATTGTCGTATTCTGTATTGAGCTTTTATATGATAAAAACATAGATATATGACTTTAATCTGGGATGATTTTGAGTAATCCTCAAAGACTCTTGTTTTCACTTGGCTTAGGACAGGAAAGTTGACCCTCTGATGCTGTCATTATTCATCAGTCATCAGACCATATTTATTCTATTTGAGCATTGCTAAAATTGTGAGATAGTATTAGATTCAGGTTGGTAGACAGAGACAAATATAAGGACAGGTAGAAATGACAGAAATGTGTTGGACTAAAGTGGGTGACTTATTTTTTTAAGATTTTTTTAAGTGATTGTTACTGTTTAGATGTTAAATGAGTGGGAACGAAGGCTGTGGGATGGATGAGCATCTCGCATCTTTAGGATACAACTACTGCTTCTTGTTTGCTTGAACAGCATATATCGAAGGGGAGAGTGATAATATCAGGCCCACCCATGACAAGCTGTGGAATGACACACCAAGGTTAGAAGGATGGGTTGCTAGCAAGGCCCCTCAGCCTGTTGCACCAGAGAAAGACTTCAGAGGAATGAAGGGGTGTCCCTTTAAGAAGGTGGCGTACCCGACAGCCCAGCTGAAGTGCCTCTCACCAATGCATGCAGCGTGAGCAACAAACAGGAGAAGCTGGAAGCCACCATGCTGCTAGAAAGTTGTGACGTGGTCGCCTTTAATGAGACTTGGTGGGATGAGTCCCACAACTGGAGCGTGGCTATCAATGGCTGATCAGAAGGGACAGATGAGGAAGGAGGGGCCGAGGCATAGCCCTCTACTTCAAGGAATGGATAGAATGTGAAGAGCTGTCTCTGAGGAATAACCACGAACAGGTCAAAAGATTATGGGTAAGAACTGGGGACAAGAGCAACAAAGGGAACCTTGTGGTTGGTGTCTACTACAGGCCACCTGACTCAAGGGGAGCCTATTGATGAAGCCCTCTCACTGCAGGTACAGGAGGCATCACACTCACAGGCTCTCATCCTGCTGGGGGACTTCACCCCAAAATCTGCTGGAAAAGTAGCATGAGGAGCTGTAGGCAATCCAGGAGACCCCTGGAGTGCATGGAGGATAACTTCCTATGCCAGGTAATAGACAGCCCTACCAGAGGGGATGCCATACTTGACCTGTTGGTCACAACACAAGTGAGTGAATTAGTGATGTCAAGACTGGAGGCAGCCTGGACTGCAGTGATCATGCAGTAGTGGACTTCACAGTCGTGAGGGATATGGGGCAAGCAAAGAGTACAGTCAGGACCTTGAATTTTGGGAAAGCAAAATTCCACCTCTTCAGGGAGTTAGTCATAGGACCCCCTGGGAAACTGCCCTTGGGGACATGGGAGCAGAATAGAGCTGGCAGATCTTTCAGGAGGCTTTCCACAGAGCGCAAGAGCTCTCGATCCCCAGGCGTAAGAGATTGGGAAAGGAAGGCAAGAGACCAGCATGGCTGAGTGGAGACCTGCTGGTCAAACTAAAGGGCAAGAAGGAAATGCAGAGGTAGTGGAAGCTGGGACAGGTACCCTGGGAACAATACAGGGACACTGCCCGATTTTGTAGGGATGGGGTTAGGAAGGCCAACGCACGGCTGGAGCTGAACTTGGCAAGGGATGCAAAGAATAATAACAAGGGCTTCTACAGGTATGTCAGACAGAAAAGGAAGGTCAAAGAAAGCGGACCCCCCCCTTGATGAGCAAGACTGGCAAAAACAGATGAGGAAGAGGCTGAGGTACTGAATGACTTCTTTGCCTCAGTCTTCACTGTCAGTCTCTTCCCACACATCTCAAGAGGATGGACTGCAAGATGAGGACTGGAGGAGCAAAGTCCCTCCCACTGTAAGAGAAGATTGGGTTCAAGACCACCTGAGGAATGTCAACATACACAAGTCTATGGGACCTGATGAGATGCATCCCAGAGTCCCGAGGGAACTGGATGATGTAGCTGCCAAGCCACTCTCCACGATAGTTGAAAAGTCCTGGCAGTCAGGTGAAGTCCCTGGAGACTGGAAATGGGAAACATGGCACCCAGTTTTAAAAAGGATTGGAAGGATGACCCTGGGAACTACCGACCCATCAGCCTCTCCTCTGTCCCTGGGAAGATCATGGAAAAGAACCTCCTAGAAGCTATGCTAAGGCACATGGAGGACAGGGAGGTGATTCAAGACAGCCAGCATGGCTTCACCAAGGGCAAGTCCTTCCTGACCTTCTAGTGGCCTTTTAGGATGGAGTGACCACACCAGTGGACAAGAGAAGAGCTACGGATGTTGTCTGTCTGGGCTTCTGTAAGGCCTTTGGCATGGTTCCCCACAACATCCTTCTCTCTAAATTGGAGAGATAGGGATTTGATAGGTAGACTGTTGGGTGGGTGAGGAATTGGTTGGATGGTGGCATCCATAGAGGGTAGTGGTCAATGGCTCGACATCCAGGTGGAGACTGGTGATGAGTGGAATCCTGCAAGCTTCCGTCTTGGGACCAGTACTTTTTTAATATCTTCATCAATGACATAGACAATGGGATCGAGTGCACCCTCAGCAAGTTTGCAGATGACACCAAGCTGAGTGGTACAGTTGACATGCCTGAGGGATGGGATGCCATCCAGAGGGATGTGGACAATCTTGAGGAACGGGCCCATGTGAACCTCATGAAGTTCAGCAAGGCCAAGGGCAGGGTCCTGCACACGGGTGGGGGCAACCCCTGGTATCAGTTCAGGCTGGATGATGAAGGTATCGAGAGCAGCCTGCCAAGAAGGACTTGGGGGTGCTGGTTCCTGAAAAGCTGGGCACGAGCTGGCAATGTGCAATTGTAGCCTAGAAGGCCAACCGCATCCTGGGCTACATCAAATGAAGTGCATCCAGCAGGTCGAGGGAGGTGATTCTGCCCCTCTGCTTTGCTCTTGTGATACCCCGGCTGGAGTACTGCATCTAGCTCTGGAGCCCTCAGCACAGTAAAGACATGGACCTGTTGGAGCGGGTCCAGAGGAGGGCCACCAAAATGATCAGCGGGATGGAACACACCACTGCTATGAGGACAGGCTGAGAGTTGGGGTTGTTCAGCCTGGAAAAAGAGAAGGCTCTGGGAAGACCTTATTGAAGCCTTCTGGTACTTAAAGGGGGCTGATGAGAAAGATGGGGACAGAATTTTCAGCAGGGCCCATTGCGATGGGACAAGGGGTAGTGGTTTTAAACTACAAGAGGGTAGATTTAGACAAGATATAAGGAAGAAATTTTTTGCAATGTGGATAGTGTACCACTCTCACCTACCAGAGAGGCAGTAGATGCCCCATTGCTGGAGCCATTCCAGATCAGGTTGTATTCGGCTCTGAGCAACCTGGTGTAGTTGCAGATGTCTCTGCTCACTGCAGGGAGGGTGGACTAGATGACCTTAAAAGGTCCCTTTAGCTCTGGAGCCCTCAGCACAGTAAAGACATGGACCTGTTGGAGCGGGTCCAGAGGAGGGCCACCAAAATGATCAGCGGGATGGAACACACCACTGCTATGAGGACAGGCTGAGAGTTGGGGTTGTTCAGCCTGGAAAAAGAGAAGGCTCTGGGAAGACCTTATTGAAGCCTTCTGGTACTTAAAGGGGGCTGATGAGAAAGATGGGGACAGAATTTTCAGCAGGGCCCATTGCGATGGGACAAGGGGTAGTGGTTTTAAACTACAAGAGGGTAGATTTAGACAAGATATAAGGAAGAAATTTTTTGCAATGTGGATAGTGTACCACTCTCACCTACCAGAGAGGCAGTAGATGCCCCATTGCTGGAGCCATTCCAGATCAGGTTGTATTCGGCTCTGAGCAACCTGGTGTAGTTGCAGATGTCTCTGCTCACTGCAGGGAGGGTGGACTAGATGACCTTAAAAGGTCCCTTCTAACCCAAACTATTCTATGATTCTATGATATCTGAAAGTTTTGAGAGGTAGCCTTGGTTTACAAATCTTGGCATAACAAATAGTCTGACAACTTTAAATAATTCATAATTGTCTTTAGTTTGGAGCTGCCAAAGAAGCATTACCAGCAGTGTGTTTTAAGGCACATTCCTATCACTGTTCCTTGCTATAACTTTTTAACTTCATGTTTAGATATGTGAAATTTCTGAAATTTGTTTGCTGTGGTTTGAAATAGAATTTTCAAGAACCCTGTGAAAGGCAAGATGGATGGATTTAGCTTACAATTTAAACTCAGGGGTTTTTCTTAGGTTGTTTTTTTTTTGTCTTTTTTTCTCTAAACTTGAGAAGCTTAAGATATTTCCAACAAATGCTGTTTCCCGTTTCTTAATGTTTGCTTGTATTGTTGAGTCAAAATCCTGTGGCATGTCAAAATGTTGGCCATGTTTTGAAATGCTGCTTAGATTTTGTATTACTTCCTGTAGTAAAGCAGTTCAACCTTTCTAAATCAAGTTCCTTAATGTCAGTGGTTTTCCTCTTAACCATTTATCTTGTATTTGTAAAATTTGCCTCTAGAAACATTTGCATGTAAGACATTGTTCAGGATGAAAAACCTTAAACTTTTTCCAAATTCTAGAAGGGTATACTAATCCTTAACCTCTGGAACATTTGGGAAAAAGGCTCATGGAACAGCAAGGTTAGGGAATGGACACTTCCTGTCCCTTCTGTTGTATTTGTGCTATAGTGCATTCTGGTTTGGGGCAATCATGCATTCAGAAGGAGGGCAGAAACACAGGATGATTTTCACCTCTAGTTCCTAGCCCTGTTCTCTGAAAATGTACATGTTTTACATGAGAAAGTAATTTGATTAAAAAAACAAAAACCCAGGGGTCACAGCTGTGTGCCTTTCCCATCTTGAGTACCTATTTTTCTGGCAGACTAAAGCTTTCTTGGACCTGTTTTCATTCTGGTCCCAGAACACTTACATTTGCACGGTACTTCAGATTCAGGAGGAGTTGTGGAGAGTGTTTACTTCTGGAATATTCATAGTTAATTAGGATGCACTTGGGAGATGTGACTTCAAATTGCCTCTGGCAGAGTAAGGTCTAGAATCCAGGTCCTTAATTTCTTTCATGAGTGCTTGAGCAAGTAAGCTGTTGTGCATTGCTGCCCTTAAAGTCCCACTTTAATCTTTAGACTGTTATGTATTATCTGTCCAGCATCATAACCATCTTCTATCTGTAGAGAATGCATTTGTTAAGCATATATGATACTTCCAATAAGGCAGTCCTCTAACTTCCAGGTAGAGTGGTACATGAACTGGAATGTAGTTTGCGCTGTGATTCCACCTTAAGCATCTTGGCAGTATGGGCTCAAGTGCTGATAAAAAAAAAAAATACAACAAACAGCTTAAACTGATCTGTCTTACTTGCTTTTATTTCCAGTTAATGAAAGTCACATGGTTGTTCAAGCTCTGCGGCTTAATACCATGTCAAAGCTTACATTTGCAGACTGCGCACGTTTTGATGCACTGGTTAAAGATGTATTTCCTGGCATTGACTTTAAAGATGTAGAGTATGCTGAGTTAACTACAGCTTTACGACAAGTCTTTGAAGAAGCAAACTTGGAAATTATAAGCACCCAGGTAAACATCAACTACAGCAACAAAACAATACGAGTTATTCTGAATTAGAACTGATTAATATTACATTCATTTGACTCATTTCTGTTTACTTTTGAAAGAAACCTTTTATAAAAAAGTGAGAATAACTAATAGTTAGATTCTAATTACATGTATATAAAAAAATAGATGTGTGTGTTTGAAGCCTGGTAGATCAGTTGTGTAACTGACATAAAAATAGTGCAAGGAAAATCAAGATGTGAACATGTGACACAGTTTCATTCAAGCCAGGTACAAATGCCAATGAACGTTTTGGACAGTGAAATAATTAAATATGTGAATATTTGTTTTTATCAAGCAGTTCTGTGTCTCATTTACATTTATTAATTGTAGGGCTGGATGAAGTTTTGTGACTAAAGGTTCATTAATTTCTCAGCAAAAATATGCCCAAAGAGGGCTGATATTTTTATATTTGTAATTTAGTGAAATGCTTCTAACATGAAAAATAAGGTTCTTGGTATTCTTTAGTATCATAATTTTAATTACATCTGCAAATACCTATTGTTTCAAAAATAAAATTGTAGAAACAAAGTGCATGCAAAGTAGATTGGAAAAACATTAAAAAAGAACATGATTGATTTAGCTTTACAACTTCATATAGCCATTATCTCTTTTATTATCTAGATCAAGAAAGCTTTGGAATTATACGAACAACTACGTCAAAGAATGGGTGTAGTTATTGTAGGTCCGAGTGGTGGAGGGAAATCAACACTTTGGCGGATGTTAAAGACAGCACTTGGTAAAACTGGCAAAGTAGTGAAGCAGTATACTATGAATCCCAAAGCTATGCCTCGACATCAATTGCTAGGCCATATTGATATGGATACCAGAGAATGGTCTGATGGCGTGCTTACAAATAGTGCTCGACAAGTAGTACGAGAGCCCCGAGGTATGTTTGTGAGGGAGTTACACATCATTAAGCTTAAATTACTGAAATTGTTTATTTTCAGTTACATTTTTATATTGTGTTATTATTTGTGGATGGCATAAAATAAGAAAAACTTTTGGTGACATAGTCAAGAACACGTATAGATATTTTCCAAATTTTGTGATAAGAAAGCAAAAATAGACTGCAGAAGGTAAAGCATGTAAGGAATATCTTCACAGATCTTATATTTAAGTTACAATGAAGAAAGAGCATTAAATAGTGTCAAAATAGCAAGGGGCAATATTCTTTAAGTCTTTTTCTTGGGTTTGATATTTTATTTTTCTGTCTGGAAATAGATGTTACTTCATGGATAATTTGTGATGGTGATATTGATCCTGAATGGATTGAATCTTTGAATTCCGTTTTGGATGACAACAGGTTGTTGACTATGCCCAGTGGAGAAAGAATTCAATTTGGCTCAAATGTCAACTTTATATTTGAAACTCATGACCTTAGCTGTGCCTCTCCCGCCACAATATCTCGCATGGGAATGATCTTTCTGAGGTAAGTCACAGGAGCATTACATAATTCTAAAGTAACGAAATATACTTACTTTTCTTGAAAGACAGTCTAAAGTGGATGGAGCAACTTAATTACTTGCTTACACTTATGAAACAAATCACTGAGGGAGTTTGCTTTAGGTTGCATGTCCCTTCTGTGCTGTCATGTTATAATCTTTTGGCTAATATATCTCAAACTTTTTGAAAGAGACATGGTGGATTTTTTTTTTTTTTTTTTTTTGAGTGACCATTAGAGAGCCCAAATATTAATTAGAAATTCTTGTTGAAGTATTTCCCTAAAGCTTTCCTGGAATTTTGTTGTTCCTTTGAATCTGTCTATGTGAAGATGTATATGCCTTGTATTTGTTTGAATCTTGTTTTGTTTTGGTTTGACTTAGTGATGAAGAACCAGATCTTAATTCTCTGATAAAGTCTTGGCTAAGAAGTCAGCCTGAAGAATGCAGATACAACCTTGAAAATTGGATTGGGGACTATTTTGAAAAGGCTTTAAACTGGGTTGTGAAGAAGGTTAGTAAATGAATAATTAATCAAATTTCAGCTTCTGTTAAGGACGATGCATTTTCTTAGTTTAACACTGAAAAGATCATTCATATTAATTTTTAAATTTTAAGTAAAGAATCTTGGTGCTTTTTTGATAGGTATTTTCATAACAAGACTAATACTGGAACTATTCTAATCAGTTTCCAAATACTGATCGCTTCAAGTTTTGAAACATTTAATACAATTTTAACTAATGAAATGCATGTATTTCTGTGAAACTTAGTATCTGTCTTTATGTGTGCCATCGTTTAACCCCAGCTGGCAACCCAAGCACCATGCAGCCGCTCGCTCACTCCCCCCTGGTGGGATAATGGAGAGAATCAGAAGAGTAAAAGTGAGGAAACTCAGGGGTGAGATAAAGACAGTTTAATAGGTAAAGAAAAAGCCTCACACACAAGCAAAGCAAAACAAGGTATCCATTCACCACTTCCCATTGGCAGGCAGGTGTTCAGCCATTTCCAGGAAAGCAGGGCTCGATCACACATAACAGTTACTTTGGAAGACAAATGCCATAACAACAGCAGTGCCCCCCTTTCTTCTTCTTCCCCCGGCTTTATATGCTGAGCATGATGTCATACAGTATGGGATATCCCTTTGGTCAGTTGGGGTCAGCTGTCGCAGCTGTGTCCCCTCCTAGCTTCCCATGCACCCCCAGCCTACTTGGTGTTGGGGTGGTGTGAGAAGCAGAAAACGCCTTGACTCTGTGTAAGCACTGCTCAGCAACAACTAAAACATCTCTGTATTATCAACACTGTTTCCAGCACAAATGCAAAACACAGCCCCATACTAGCAACTATGAAGAAAATTAACTCTATTCTAGCCAAAACCAGCACAGTGTGGTGGGTTGACCCTGGCTGGACACCAGGTGCCCACCAAAGCTGCTTTATCACTCCCCCTCCTCACCTGGACAGGGGAGAGAAAATATAATGAAAGGCTCATGGAGAGATCACTCACCAACTACCATCACTGGCAAAATGGATTCAACTTGGGGAAATTAGTTTAATTTGTTGCAAATCAAATCAGTGTAATGAGAACTAAAACCAAACCTTAAAACACCTTCCCTCCACACCTCCCTTCTTCCCGGGCTCAACTTCACTCCCAAATTCTCTACCTTCTCTCACCCTAGCAGCACAGGGGAATGCAGAATGGGCGTTGTGGTCAGTTACACATTATCTTTGCTGCTCCTTCCTCCTCAGGGGGAGTACTCCACACTCTTCCTCTGCTCCAGTGTGGGGTCCTTCCCACAGGAGATAGTCCTCCATGAACTTCTCCAGTGTGAATCCTTCCCATGGGCTGTATTTGTTCACAGTCTGCTCCAGCGTGAGTCCTTTCCATGGGATGCAGTCCTTCAGGAACAGAGTACTCCAGCCTGGGTCACTCATGGGGTCACAAATCTCTGCTCTGGTGCCTGGAGCACCTCTTCCTCCTCCTTCTTCACTGACCTTGGTGCCCGCAGTTACTTCTCTCACATATTCTCACTCCTCTCTTCGGCTGCAGTCACACAAATTTTTGTTTCCCCCTTCTTAACCCTGTTGTCCCAGAAGTGCTATCACTGTCGCTGATGGGCTTGGCCTTGGCCAGTGGTGGGTCAATCTTGGAGCCAGCTGGCACAGGCTCTATTGGATATGGGGGAAGCTTCTCGCAGCTTCTCACAGAAATGATCCCTATAGCCCCCTCTGCTACCAAAAGCTTGCTACACAAACCCAATACACTTCAGTATTCCATTCTGGACATTTTTCTGTATGTTTTCAAAGATCTGAAAGATCTGATTGTCTAAACAAAAACACGGAAAAGTAAAGAAATTGTTTTTCCAGATTTAAGTTATTGTCTATAACAGAAAAATAGCAAAAATTTGACAAGTTGCACAGTGTAGACTGAAGCTTATAATAGGTTGGGGAGAAATATAATGCTAGATACCTAGAAAGATTGATAGAGGCATATCTAAAAAAAAAGTCTGATTGTTCTCACTGCTAAATTTTAACAGCTCCCACTAATCTGTCCTTTTAAATACATAAATTTAGCTCTTCAGGATTCTACTCAAAATCTTAACTGAAAGATGTTTTAGTAGTTGAAAGGTAATATGTAATTACAATATTAAAAAAGTATAGTCCAAAACCTTGTACATTATCTGGATTCTGTGATTCTGGGACATACATCAAGATGATTGTTCTGCATATGCTAGATTTTCTAAAGGATTCTAGATGCTCCCTTGCCTCCCCTTCTTCTGAAGGAGTTGCATTTGCATTGAACAAATGCCTTATGTTGCACAAGACATTACTGAGGAGAAATCTCCACTGCTGCAGCCAGTAAGCTCGTGTTTGGGAGACATGCAGGGAGATCAGAACAGGCTGGATCGATGGGCTGAGGTTAATTGTATGAGGTTTAACAAGGCCAA